AAGGGTATTTTAATTGCCAGTAACTATTAAAATACTGTACTTATTACTGTTGTTTTAAAGGAGAGCAGATTACTTATGCCAGCCAGCAACATTGAGTGGTGCTTTGTAGTGATTACAGTATAGTAATTTCTGAAAAAGAAAAAAGATAACAATGGAGACCACTACAGTTTTAGATACCCAGAGCATGCAAAGCGGGGACGATATGCTCATTGTCAATAAAGAACAGAACAGAATAGAGCAGGGAGACAGGAAAACAAAGAAAATGCATACAGCTACCATGCCATTTTAGTTCATAGCTGCAACAGGGTCAATACAAATGCAAACACTGCTACTCTGTCAGTTTAGGGAGGATGTATAGAAACCACACGGTCAGCAACAGAGAGGAAAAAAGAACCAGTTGCAGGTGCTGTGGTTTTCTGGTTCTATATATAAACTATTTGAAAGAGATAACATCAGTGTTCTGGATCGGCAGCTAAACTTGTGGTCTCTCTTTCTTACATCCAAGTATATTCAACATCTGAATGAAGTAGAGATACTGCTAGAGTTGATTTGCAAATATGTTTTATTTAATTATATACTTCAATTTATATACAGTACAGGCAAAGAATGATGATAAAACATTGTTATTTTAGAAGGATGAGATGCTTCATGGATATGCATGAATGGGATTCAGCTATCACTTTATTTAAACTTATACACATTATTTGTAATCTTGAAACACTTATGCTACTCATTGTGTGTTTTTGTGTCTGGTAGAATCTTATGTTGCTAATTTTCATCACTACCATTCTGAGTCAGGAATAATTAGCATGCCCTCTATTGGAGAGTGAATCACATAAGCAACCACAAAATAAGATTAAAATACACAAACTTAAACAGCAGCTTAAAATTCATTCATAGGCCACAATCATTCCTGTCAAACCAAACTTGAAACTATTTGACACAGTCCAACAGTTTTAAAACTATCACCATTGAAGACCTTAACAGAAAATGAAATGTGTGCTTTTAGCACATTTAAACCATGTAACATAGGGACCGTGGGCAGGATGGTTGAGAGTTCCATAACCAAGTTCAGGAGGGGTTAGTATTGAGAAGTTCTGCAACACAGCTCCTTACACTGGCCACGTGAACTGGGATTTGTGGATGCTGAATTGAAAAAGCAGCCTCAAAGTGTTCAACATCTAGTGAAACAGATGAACGTGAAAAAGAAAGTACAACCTCTTTGATTTCAATGGTTTTACATATAAGGGCTTAATAAAAATAACCTGGTCCTTACCGCATTTGAAAAATTAGGTAAATACAACATCAGATGAACAAGAGCACATGCCATATTACACCGTGTCATGATTTATTTTAGATAAATAAAGCCAAAATGGAGAAGCCATGCGTGAAAAACTAAGGAGCCAAATGCTTCTAACCAAATGCCCTTGAGTAACTGATCATCAGCAGGTGTGACCAGCCCTATAAAAAACAAAGTTTTAGCAGTTTGCTGTCTGGAGCATTCAGGTGCATGTGAACACAATGTCGAGGAGGAAATACATCAGCAATGATGTCCTTTGGACAGACAAGACCAAAGTGGAGATGTTTGGCCATAATCCACAGAACCATATTTGGTGAAAACCAAACACAGCACATCAGCACAAATACCTCCTAGCAACGGTCAAGCATGGTGGTGGAGGGGTTGCTAATTTGGGCTTGTTCTGCAACCACAGGACCTGGGCACCTTGTAGTCATTTAGCCGACCATGAACTCCTCTATATACCAGAGTATTCTAGAGTCAAATGTGAGGCCATCTGCCTGACAGATAAAGCTTGGCTGAAACTGGGTCATGCAACAGGACAATTATCCTAAGTACTGTACACCAGCACATCTACAACAGAATGGCTGAAAAAGAAAAGAATCAAAATATTGCAATGTCTCAGTCAACGACCAGACCTCAACCCAACTGAAATACTGTGGCTGGACTTTAAAAGAGTTGTGCATAAACAAATGCCCACAAACCTCGATGAACTGAAGCAACTGTTAAAAAGTGGGTCAAAATTCCTCCACAATGTGAGAGATTAATAAAGTTATACAGAAAATGATTACTTCAAGTTATTGCTGCTAAAATTAGTTCTACAAGCTACTGAATCTTAAGGTGTACTTATGTTTTTCACACATGGTTTCTCCATTTTGGCTTTACTTTTTTTAAAAAAATCATGATACGATGTAATATGTTATGTGAGTACTTATGTTTTTCATACATGGTATCTCCATTTTGGCTTTAAAACAAAAAAAAAAAAGGAAATCATGATACGATGTAATATGTTATGTGTTGTTGTTCATCTGAGGTTGTATTTACCTAATTTTCAGACCTGCTAACCAAATGGTTTTTATTATGTCCTGATACGTAAAACCGTAGAATTCAAAGACAGTGGTTCCCCCCCACACACACATGGCTTAAAGAGTCAGCTGGTTAAATAAAACTTTCTCAATTCCACATTCTTAAGGACTCTCATGGTGCAGTGGTTCTACTGCAGTCAAGACTCTGCAGTACTCCAGAATTCAATCCTAATGGTTTCAGTTAGCTGGCTCAAAGTTAACTCAGCCTTCCATCCTTCTGAGTTTGGTATATTGAGTATCCAGCTTGCTGGGGGGAGGGGATATTAGCCTTCATTATTAAATTGGAAAACACCCCAGGGGTGCTTTAAGTGCTACGGGGCGGTAATTAAGTAGCACACTTCAAGGCAAAGGGCAAGTGTTCCTATAATATGAATTCTGCAACCTAAAGAAAAAAGATTTCCCTAAATGGGTCTAAGCAATTGTTTTTATCCTATTATTCCTACCATTGTTGAAATAAAGGTATTTTTCAAAGAAATGATGAAGTATGAAAAAACACACGCAGAACAGAAACTAACTATATAAATTTGTAGCTCTTCTTAGTATAGTTTAAATCTTAAAATGGGAAAAGCGTGTTTTATTAAAAGTCAGGGAAGGAATTCTCTGGAGCTGACTTGCAAACAAGCCACTCAGCTGGCTGGTGCAAGGAAGAATGTCCTCCAGGTAGGGAAACTTTGCAGTCTCAGGTTGTTTGTTGAGACTACCACAGTTATATGGGACTAAAAAGTCTAATGAACACGTCCACAGACAAGTTTAAAGTCCCTTGTATAAGATTATCATCTTTAGAATGTTAGATGATTGCTAACACAGGTATATGCAAGATTTTTGTTCACTAGGTTATTCATAGGAAACTGCCTCACAGTTGAGTAAAAATTAATAGGCGCTCTAGCCCAGTGTGGTCAACTCTGACCAGCAGCATCGGCTTCTCACGGTTCCAGGAAGGATTCTTTCTCCAGCCTACTGGGAGGTCACTGATATTCCTTGGAAGCTAAGATCAGGAACTAAGCTCTTGCTTAGTTTCTGCAATCGGACACAATCAGATGTGTTCCATGTGATTTTAGACCCCTGGGTTAGAGGTCTGTTGTGGTTGTGTACTGTCTGGTCGCCTCCAACTTAGGGTGACTTTGTCAAATAGTGACTTGAAAACTCAAGCCCGTGGCTTCCTTTACGGAGTCAATCCACCTCCTATTGGGTCTTCCTCTTTTCCTGCTGCTTAGTTTCTGCAATCGGACACAATCAGATGTGTTCCATGTGATTTTAGACCCCTGGGTTAGAGGTCTGTTGTGGTTGTGTACTGTCTGGTCGCCTCCAACTTAGGGTGACTTTGTCAAATAGTGACTTGAAAACTCAAGCCCGTGGCTTCCTTTACGGAGTCAATCCACCTCCTATTGGGTCTTCCTCTTTTCCTGCTGCCTTCCACGGCTGTCTGGTCGCCTCCAACTTAGAGCGACTTTGTGAAATAGTGACTTGAAAACTCAAGCGCGTGGCTTCCTTTACAGAGTCAATCCACCTCTTATTGGGTCTTCCTCTTTTCCTGCTGCCTTCCACGTTTCCTAGCATTATACAATTTGGGTCCAGGCTACCTGAAGAACCATGTCTCCCCATATGAGCCTTTAAGATCCTCAGAGGACATCAATTGTTAGACCCTTTTCTTTAGGTTGCAGAGGAGATCCTGGTCCCGTGGCCAGCACAGGCGCAGCCGATGGGGACACACACAAGAGACGGCCTTCTTGGTGGCAGCTCCCAGGTTATGGACGGCTCTCCCCCTCCGGAGGTCAGCCTGACCCACCTTCCATTTATCCTCCCACCAACAGGTGAAGAAGACCCATCTTTTCAGGCAAGCTTTTCCGCAATCATGATTAAATGCCTTTTTTTAAAAGCTAAGGCAGTTTTTTCAAGGTCCACCTGCTTCCACAGTATTTTAATTTGCATACAGTTTTAATTGTTCCTAATGTTTCACTTGTCATGGTTTTTTAAAATTTCTTTTTATTATTGTGAGCGGTCCCGAATCCCCTTACTGGGAGTCAAGGCGGCCTCTGAAACCCACCATGTTGTCTTTTCCAAAGAGCCCAACTCAGGAGCGCGTCTGAAGTAGGGGCCAGCCTCAGTTGAGCCATTTTTTCCGGACACACACGGACACACACCCATTTGTCTGACGAACGGGCCAAGGTCTTTCAGGCCCCTCTCTACCAAAGGGAGGCAGGCCCATGTTGCTCGCTGGCTGTTCCCAGCAGCCCCAGCCAGCGCAGTCCGTCGTGAGGGGGATGATGGGAGTTGCAGTCCTGCTACAACTCTGGAGGCCACGCCTTCCAACATCCCTGCTAGGAAGACGCAAGAGAAGCCGAGGGCCAGACCGAGCCAGTGGCCTGAGCATGTGCAGAGTGCTCCCCTCCCCGACCAGCTGAGACATAACACCGGAGGGGGGGAGAGGAAGAGAAGAGGGTGTTAAGAGCGGCTCCTGAGGCCCCGGCCCTCTTTTCCCGCCTTTGCCCCGTGAGGGAGGAAGGAAGGAAGAGCAGCCTGAGGAGAGCAGGCCACCTCACGGGTAGGGCTCAGGCGGCAAGAAGAGGCGGGACGGCTGGGCCCCACGACGGAAGGAGGCCCTCGGCCGTCCAACTTACCTCAGCCCGACGCTCCGACGCCCCGCCGAGACCGCCGGCCAGAGCTGGCCTTCCTCATCGCCCGTTCCCCTCGCGGGGCAGCTCGGGAAATGGAGGCCTCCCCGCCGCGTTTCCTCCCTTACGCTCGACCGAGGCGAGGAAGCCAGGACTACAGCCCCCAAGAGGCTCCGCGCGCGCCCCTGATGCCGCCTCTTCCGCTCCCTCGCCTCCTGTCCAGAACCATAGAGAGAAGGTGAAAGAGAAGCGAGTGGGGAATCCAAGATGGCGGGAGACTTCTTCCGGCCGCCTCGCGCCGTCGTTTCGTCACGGCTCCTCGGGCCTGTCTAGGACAGAAGCGGAAGTGCCTATGGCGGCGGGAGGCAGAGTCCGGAAGTGGACCATGGTGGGTGCTGGGATGCTGAGAGGGAAGGGAAAGGGTTCTGGGGTCAAGTCCGTGCGAGGGAACGACTTTTGGCTCCGGTGGCTTCTCTTAGGCGGGCGGCTTCGCGGGCCGCGGGCGGCGCTGAGTGTAAGGCAGCTCCGCCCTCCTCACAACAACCCGGCCAGGTAGGTCACCCGTGAGGTATGTGTGTGTGGAGGGGCAATGGAGGCCCAAGGCGGCAGCCTCTGAGGAAGGCAGGGGCCCGAAGCGGTCAGCGCCTCAGGGGCTCCGAGCTGGTGGGCGATCCGGGGCGTTTTCAAACGGAGTATAGAAGGGAGCCTTCCGAAAGCTCAAGCGGCAGGAAGCCGGATCTCGGCGGAATATGAGGAAAAACTTCCCAACTGTTAGAGCAAGACGACGACGACGGAGGGGAATCAGTTCACCTCAGGAGGTGGCCAGGCGCTCCAACGCCTTCCAGAGAAAACAGGACCACCCTCTTGTCAGATCGGCTTAGATCTGGATGCCTGCCTTGAGCAGGGAAGGGGTTGGACTGGATGGCCTTTGAGGGGCCCCCTTTCCCACTCAGTGGGTTCTACGATTCTATATTCCTCTGGGACAGAAAGGCACTGACTTTGGAGTAAGTTCCCTTAGGACTGCAAGGGAGGTATTTGGACCGGCTGGGGCTACCGTGGTTGCATCACCTCCATGGTCTCCTTTGCGATTACTGTAAAATAAAGGTGTTCAGAAAAGCGTTCATGAAAGTGTTGTTCTCATGTGTGGAGATGTTAAAGGGGTGGGGGTTTGTGTTCACTCCAAAGGGCAGGAGGGCTCAGTGGTTGAGGTCCCTGGCTGTGGAGCCAGAGGTTGGGAGTTTAGTTTCCCCACCGGGCCTCCCAAAAGAGCCAGCCTAGATAGCCTTGGGAAAAAGCTACCCACACGGCCCCAGGGCGGCTCCCAGAAAAAGGGAAGGGGGGACTTCTGAGGACTCTCTACCTGCGGGAATCCTGAGAAGTGTTGCCCTGAATCAGAATGGACTTGATGGCACACAATTAAAACTCAATTTCCCCCCTCCAGGTTTGTTCCTGTTCATTGGGTTGTGTTGTAGTCTTTTATTAATCCTAAAGCTGTCACAAGACACTCTGGCTGAAATCCTGTTGTGCAGCTCCATGTATGTAATTCAAAGTTTCTCAAGCATAAGGAGAAGACAGAAGTGATATTTAGGAAGGAGTGCTAATCAGTTTTGTAACCAATTGTGCCTGGGCCTATCCCCCAGAGGTAGAATTTTGTTATGCTTTCAGGCAGTGTTGTCTATTATATAGTATTCTGATGAACAGAGTTGTGTTTCTAAGTGTTGTGGATTGTGGTCTCATTTCCCTGCTGCCAGGTACACACATACCCTATAACCTAACCTGTCTTTGCTGCAGGGAGGTGTGTCACGTTGGTTAAAGGAAAGAAGAACTTGTTGGACAGCTGAGGAACTCCTTTCAATGAACATTTATCATCCGTTTCCTTGCTATCTGTTAAGCTGACCATGTACTGCGCTTGAAAAAAAGCAGACAAGCATTTCTTTCATAGCCATGGATGAAGAGAATTTAGAAGCAGCGATTCAGACGTACAATGCCCAACTGCAGCAGGTGGAGTTGGCTTTGGGAGCTGGGCTGGACCCGTCGCAACAGTCTGATCTGATTCAGCTACAGGCGGATTTAAAGCAGCTGATAGAACTCACAGAATCCAGCCTTGTGTCTGTCAGGAAGAGCAAGCTCTTTTCCACTGTAGAGCCAGAAGCAATCTCCACATCTCTGTCTGCTCATCGACAACAAGACAACCAGGAGCCTGACAGGCAGAGCACAGAGGATGAATATGCAGCTTTTAAGGAAGCCATTGCTTCAGTTGGAGGCGAGGGTGATCCCTCAAGCACTTGTAATGAAGAAGGAGACAGAGAAGCTGGTGAAGAGGAAGAATTGGAGGGGGAGGGGGAGGAGGAAGAGGAGGAGGAGGAAGAGGAAGCCAGTGGGATGAAAGTGAAAGCACCTTACTACAGTACTTGGGGTACCCTTGAATATCACAACGCCATGATTGTGGGGAGTGAGTCTTTGGAAGATGGAAGGCAGGGGGTCAGAGTTCTCTACCTCTATCCCACTCATAAGTCTTTGAAGCCATGTCCTTTCTTCTTGGATGGCAAGTGCAGGTTTCAAGAAAATTGCCGGTAATTAGGCTTAATTGTTCTAAGTGGGTAACTAGTTGGGAGGAGGGTTCCTGAGTGTCCTGGAAGCTTGCATAAGGAAGAGAGCTGTTTTCACAATCCCCAGGGAAGTCTTGACTCTACCAGCCCACATCTTCCTGTTACCATGCTTTCATTTTGGGCATTTCTACATTTTGTGGCTTACTTTAAGGGCTTTTTAACACTTAGCCCTATGTGGAGGGATTGGGGTCACTTGCAGAGGCATTCATGAATGTCTGTAAACAGTCTGTAAGATTTAAGCTAACTAAATTTCCTGTAGGCTGGATGGGGCTTGAATGTTAAATGAAAAAGTGGAATGATATATTTTCTACTGATCTAGCTAGCCATTTGTTGTTTTCTAAACTTTAAAATGGCACCTTCTTCAACTGAAGGAGCAAAGTGCCACTAAGTTCGTAAGTCGAGTCCATATATTCCTATGAGAGCGGTTCGTAAGTCGAAACGTTCGTATGTCGAGCAGTTCGTAAGTCGAGACCCCACTGTATGTGAAGGTCTTGAGTGGAGATGGTTTGAATTTTGGGGGGTGGGTGACGCTGGTGGCCTCACATCCCCTCCGTATATTCTGTGAATGTAATTAGACTTTTCCCTCAAAAGGAAAAGAACTGTTTGCTGGGTTGGTCTGAGGTGGGCTGAGCTTTCACCACCCAGCTTTTTCATTTCCCAAAGTAGCAGAAAACAAATAAAAGGAAATTTTAATAAAAGAGGAAAGATTTCTGTCTCAGAATAATTCTTGTACAGTGGGGTCTTGACTTAAGAACGGCATGAGTGAAGAACATTTTGACTTAAGAACCACTCTCATAGGAAACTATTGACTTGACTTACATACTTAGATTTGAGTTAAGAACTGAAAAAAACCACGTGGGAGGCAGGGAAAGTGCAAAATTTGAACTTTCAGTTAACTGTTGGCCAGTGAAAAGGGTGCCTGTCTGCTTCCTCACTCCTCCCAGCGTTTAGAGAGTGGATTGGGAGACAGTCTTCAGACTGCCTGGTACTGTACTGCCTGGACTGTATTTTCCCTGCCTTCCCTGAACCTTTCTTGACCTAAGAAAAAAAGAAACAAAATATTCCCCTCTAGTGGTCGAGGGCAGAATAACAGCTTCCCATTAGTTTCTATAGACGGAAAAGAGCAGATACGGATCAAATGGTTTTCAATGCATTCCTATGGGAAATGTAGATTTGACCTGAGAACTTTTTGACTTGAGAACTGCCTTCCAATACGGATTAAGTTCTCAAGTCAAGACCTCACTGTATATCATCGTGGGAATGAAGGAAAGAACTCAGGGTGAAAAATCTGCAAGAGGTGCAGAAGGGTGGTCGCTATCACTTGCCTTTGTACCCGAGGAGTGAGCATTTCAGAGGCATATTTTAAATACATGAATTGTAAATGCTGGTTTCTTCTCCCTTGTGTTGGGGCCGCCAACAGATTTTCCCATGGGCAGGTAGTCCCTGTGGAGGAACTGCGTCCCTTTGAGGAACCTAATCTCAGCAACTTAGCAGTGGGCTCAGCTTGCTTGGCAAGACACCAGGATGGGATTTGGTATGCTGCTAAAATCACAGGTGAGATTTCTTTCCTTTCACAGTGGGCAGAAAAAGTGGCACCGTGGCTGTATTGAACATACAATCTCTTACCCCACAGAGACTACTACATTGTGTCCCCCCCACCAGTGTGGCCAAAGGTTATGCTGGCTAGGCTGATGGGAACTGTAATCCATCCTAGGGTGCTGGTTTGGGAGAGGCTGAACTAAAATTTAAATGTACATACATACTAGAAGCTGAGCCTTCAACCTTCTGCATGCAGAGCACCTGCTGGGCCACTGAGCTCTAACCGTGTCTGACGGTCCTCTTGCCTGCACTGTGTCCTGGCTTGCACCAGTGTGTAGGGACTTGCTGAAGGAGGGGGGAAAGTCCTGATCAATTCAAATGGACCTTTTAGTCCCCTGTTCTTAAAAAAGTAGTGGATATAAATAGGCCTAGAGAACGGACAACATCTTATGCACTTTCAAAATTAAGATGTGTGTTGACAAATCAGTGCCATTCTCCTGATGCTGCAGTGCAGTTGTTCATGAATTGTAGCCTACGGTACTTAACTATACCTTGTTTGTTTGTTCGTGTTTTACTTTGCCTTTCTCCTTGAAAGGATCCCAAGGCAGCTCATATCGCTAAAAGGACAATGTTTAAAAACTAAAAACAGTAAGTGTACAAATATTTAAAAAGAATTAAATGAGTATTGTATTGAAGATAGTAAATCAAATCAATACTAAAAACACACTTAAAAGCAACAGAGCACAAAATCCATCTCAAGACAGTTAGTCCCTAAGGGAAAAGCTGTCCGAAGAGAAAGGTCTTGGCCTGCTTGCAGATGGACAGGAAAGATGGGGCCAGCCTGGCCTCCAGTGGGAGGGAGTTCCAAAGACTAGGAACAGCAACAGAGAAGACTCCCTCCTGTGTGCCTGTGCGACTGGTGGGACCAAGAGAAAGGCCTCCCCTGATGATCTTAATGCCCAGGCTCATACGAGGGAGATGGAATCTTTTAGATAGCTTGGTCTCCTCTTTGCTAAAGGGTTACTGAAATCCAAAAGGCTGTTTTCTCAGTGGTGCAGAGGTGTGCTGTCTTCTGTAGCTGGAATCCTTCCTTCTCCCACCTTTAGACATAGACAGCGGTTACTACACCGTGAAATTTGATTCACTGCTGCTCAAGGAAGCTGTTGTGGAAGGAGATGGGGTGATGCCCCCTCTGCGCGCCGAGGACAGCTCCTCTTCATCTGAGTCCGAAGAAGATGTAGAAGATGCTGGGTATGCTAAAGGTAAATATATAGGAAGCTCAAGCCCTCCAGCACTTCTTGGGCAGAACTTGGGAAACTTACCCTCTGCTTTTCAGGGGTTCCTAGGTAGAGAATCTTCAGAAGGGGTTGACCATTCCCTTTTTCTGGAATAGTGCAGTTTGCTAAAAGGCCACACTAGCTGGCTGTCCTTTCAGGAGGCCCAGTGAGGACCTGAACCCCCAACCTCAGACTCAGCAGCCAAAATGCCTAAACCACTGAGCTGCCTCGTGTAAATCTGTATTATATTTTCACAGTCATGGATTCCAGCACTCCAGAGAATGGAGAAGGATCCTCTGCTTGCAGTTCTTCCTTTGGCCAGTGGGAGGCGCATACCCGCGGCATTGGGTCTAAACTCCTTGCTCAGATGGGATACCAGTTTGGGAAAGGTAGGTCTATCTTTGTTTATACAGGAGAAGGGCTACTCCTATGGCTTGTGCTACTGTTGTTCTTCTGCTTGAACTTACGTGTATTTGTAAAGAGGTGGCTTGTGCCATGGTTTAAATAAAACGTATTTGTTCTGTTGATTGGAGGGAGATCAAGATCTGGAGTTGGGAAGGAGGTGAAGTAAAAACGTGGACCAGAAAAAGATGCTTTGTAAGGCGCAAAGTCCTTGTTAAACCACTCCCTCCTCTTTCTCTCTCTCTCTCTCTCTCTCTCTCTCTCTTTTGTCCAGGTCTTTTGCTTTTTTGAACTAATGTGGGAAAATGTAAAATGACCCCCCCCCGCACACTTTCAGGTGCACTTTTTAAAAAATCTGGGGATGGCAGTAACAGGGAGAAAGTCCTGTGTTTGAGACCTCTGCCTTCCTCCCAAAGCTTGGAGAAGTTGTTGTTGTGTTGATACACACTGCCCTGTAACTCTTAAAACAATCCTTGGGCTGTTTACAACATAATTATGCAATCAGCAACTTTGCCCCCCCCCCGAACTGGGTACTCATTTTACCAATCTCAGAAGTATGGAAGGCTGAGTTGACCCTGAGCCGGCTACTTGTATCTGTCGGGATCATACTCAGGTCGTGAGCAGAGGCTTGACTGCAGTATTGCAGCTTAACCACTGTGCCACGGGATTCTGGTAAATCTATAAAATTACTTCTCAGACTACAACATCTCCACCCGCCTGGTGAGTACAGCCGCTGCCCATGCTGGCTGGTGAATTCTGGGTGTTGTAGTCTTTTAAAAAGTAACTTTCGAAGCACCATTTTCTCCACTGGGAAGTAGGTAAGATTCCTCTGTGTTTTCTGAATACTTCTGAAGCAAGACAGAGTAGCTGCTGTTCCATGTGTTGTTGTTAGAGTCTTGTGCTAGGGGCTCAGGAGATCAGGGTTCATTTTGCCACTTGGCCATGAAACTCATTGTGTGTTTTTTCTGGCTGTCATGCATTCTCAGCCTCACTTTCTTCACAGGTTCTTTTGAGGCTGTGGTGAGCCTTGTTCATTGGATGGGGATAGATATGTACAGTGGTGCCTCACTTAACGATTGCCCCGCATTACGACAAAATCGCTGTACAACGATCTTTTTGCAGTCGTAATCGCGAACACAAAACGATGGTCTAAATGGGGGAATTTCACTTAGCGATGATCAGTTCCCTGCTTTGGGATTTTCGCTTTACAACAATCAAAAACAGCTGACCGTCGGGTTTTCAAAATGGCTGCCGGGGGCTTAAAATGGCTCCTCGCTGTGTTTAGGGATGGATTCCTCGCTATACAGGCAGCGAAAATGGCTGCCGTATGGAGGATCTTCGCTGGACGATGAGTTTTTACCCCATTGGAACGCATTGAACAGGTTTCAGTGCGTTTCAATGGAGTTTTTAATTTTGTTTTACGATGTTTTTGCTTAACGGTGATTTTCCTGGAACGGATTATCATCGTTAAGTGAGGCACCACTGTATATACATTTTTGATGGAGGGCAACAGGGTGTGGCATCAGAGCAAGACTTTGTTTCTTCCTTCATTAGCAGAGAAATTGTTGGTACTCATGTTGTCCAGATGCAAAGCTGACCACTGACTCTGATTCCCTCCCATGGGGGTGGGGTGGGGCCCCCGGAAAAGCAAAGAGAGAGCTTGTGCTCTGTCATCAGAGCCCTTTTTTCCCCCCACTTCAGGCTTGGGGAAGAATTCAGAGGGCCGAGTGGAGCCGGTCTTGGCTGTTGTGCTGCCCAAAGGCAAATCCTTGGACCAGTGTGCCGAGATCTTGCAGAAGAAGAGGGAAGGGAAGCTCGATCCTGCAAAGCCCAAAAAGCGAGGGGCCAAAGAGAAGCGGGCCAAGAAGCCCTGCAGGCCGAGCCCGAAGCCCCGCAACGTGTTTGACTTTCTCAACGAGAAACTTCAAGGCAAGGACTCCAGCCAGCAGGACGGAGAGACGGCCCCCTTGGAGCGGAACAGCAAGGAGATCTACCATGCCAGGAAGAGCACCAAGAAAGCGCTCAGCATCCGCCTCTTCCAGACCATGGAGAGAATCGACCAAACCCAGAAGGACATCCGAGGAATCCAGGAGGCCTTGGCCCGCAACGTTGGGAGGTAAAGAGAAGGCCTTGGGTGGGACAAGAAGGGGTTTGAGGGCATGAACCCAGTGGAGAACACCCTGTGGGATCTTGAGTTGGAGCAGAACTTTGGGAAATGTTCTTGTGTTGCTGGCTGGGAGAACCGGGGACTTGGTCATTTTGGGGGGAACATGGCGGAAAGGTAGGTTCCTTTTGTAGCCTGCTGAATATCAGAGCAAGGAGCAACCAGTGCAAGAGACTGGTCTTGTGTCCGGCTGCTTGTGAGTACCGTGAGCAGAAGGACGGTCACTGCCGGCCAACCAGTAAAGAGGCCTACTTGTACACACAAACTTTCTGACAACATGGCCACTTCAGGGATGTCAAGTTGGCTGCTTGCACAAGGAGACAGTGCTCTGGCAGCTTTAGTAGCCGTGCAGAAGAGGATATTTTCACAGGTGCATTTCGGTGAGCAAAGCTGTCCCTGCTGAAATTCTTTCTTCCATCCAGCTTTAAAACCAGGAATGTCGCCGGGTTGTACATGGACTCCCAGGGCTATAATGTTCACCTCCAGACTTTCTCTTTGTTCCACATCTTGCAAAAACAAAGAAACGTAACTGAGTTCAATGTATTCGCGAAGACTTTCATGGCTGGGATCTGATGGTTGTTGTGGGTTTTTTGGGCTCTTTGGCCGTGTTCTGAAGGTTGTTCTTCCTGACGTTTCGCCACTCTCTGTGGCCGGCATCTTCAGAGGACTGGAGTAGGAACTCTGTCCATGCTCTGTTGCTGTTTGTTGGATAGTTGAGTATTTATAACTGTAGGAACAGTTGTGTCCTTTTCAGGAGATTGGGTGATTATGGTGATCAGCGTGTTTTTGTTGTGGATGTATTGTTGTGTATCTCTCCCCCTTATCACAACAATACATCCACAAAAAAACACTGATCACCATCAGAACAAGGCCAAAGAACCCGAAAAACCCACAACAACCATAACCGAGTTCCTTTTTTGAAAAAGGAGAAAGAAAAGCCAGTCTCAAACAGTGGGGCAGTACAAAGTCTATGGGAAACACTTAAAAATGAGTTTCACTGTGTGAAATCGGTTTTGCTTAGAGCCTCATGGCTGCTTTTTCTTGACAACTAGGAACTCCCATCATTTCTTTTTGCTTACATTTGGTTGGGAGTCTGAATACGACCTTCTCGGATTTGTCAAGCCATCGTTATTTAGGATGCCTTCCTAATTTCCTGCCTTTGGCTTTCAGGCACACCATTGTCACGGCACAGCTGGAGGAGAAGCTGGCCGGAGCCCACAAGAAGCTGGGGGAACTCCGAGCCCAGGAGGCCAGTCTCCAGCGGGAGCAGAAGAAAGCAGACACACACAAGAAAATGACCGAGTTCTAGCCTCCCTCCATGAGGTCTGCCCAGGGGCTGGCAGGCTTGCTCAGCTCCTGCCATGCTGAGACCAGTCCTTCTGTTCAACCACCATTGCCTAGAAAGCAGCTGCTGAATGCGAAATGGCAAGCGGGTTGGTGCAGAGGACGGAGCAGTCTGACTTTCTGCTTGGTGCATCGTGACCGTTGTGTGGAGCTATCAGGGTTTCCTTTATCTGTGCTGGGGTAGAAGTAAGAGGCAGAGTAAGACAGCAGTGCTGAGGTTTCCGATACCCTCAATCCCTCCTGGTCTGGTAAAAGGAATGGTTACGGCTGCATTTTGATGCAAGAGACACATCAGTTTTCTGGCCGATAGAATCCCTGTATTCTTCTGTGTCTCGTTCTTTGCAACTCTGGGCGTGGGATTTCAGTCGCTGAAAAGTACATTTCAGTCGCTGCCGTGCTTTGACACTGGTAGGCGCGCAGCCTGTGGAGCTTGCCTATGGCTCTGACGTCAAACCTGAGCAAGTCTGACCAAGCAGGAATTTTATCCCTTAATATCTGGCGACCCTAAATAGCGTGCAGTGTTGATGATGCGCAGCCACCAGACATGTGGTGAGCCAGCATAAATCGTCTTCTAGGAACCGCCCTGAAATGTCTGGAGTAGGGTTAGGGCTTGGCTTACAGACTGTGGGCTCCGTAGAACAGGAACCAGCAAGTGTGGAGGCTCTTAAATGCGTGCATAATCTGAAGCCTCGGTCGGAATTGACGTGTGATCTGAAAAGAGCCACGCTCACAGTTGCTCACGCCCACAGCCCCCAAGCAGGATAGTATCGTAGAACAGGGCACAGTATTTCATCTCAGGAAGAATGAGAAAGGGCTGCTGGTGGGCCATGCAGGGAGTGCAGCGGCAGTGGGTTCGAGCAAGGTTTAGACATCTGTGCCGCTTCCTGTACATGTTTCCTTTCGCTCTGTAATTTGAAGATCTGAGTTAAAAGAACGGTAATCTGACGTATTAGTCTTTCTCTCTCTCTCTCTCTCTCTAGTAATCTGACGTATTAGTCTTTTTTTTCTCTCTCTCTTTCCTTCATTGTGAGTTTATGTGTGCCTCAAACTTCACGAGAGGGAGTTTATGTGTGCCTCAAACTTCACGAGAAAGTGTACAGTCCCAGGTTTGCTTGTTTGCATGGGAATATGTGCTCTGTACAGATGCATCTACCATTGCAGTTGAGTTTGCATGATTTAATTTCCCAGCAATTCAGGTGGCTTCTCGGTTGCTCTTTTCTAGCTGTGCCTTTATACCTGTGATCCTTCCTACTCTAGAGCTTTAAATTTGATATATAAATCAGTTCTGGCTTTTTTTAAAAATGCTATTATTGCCTTTATGAGCAGCTTGGGCTTCTTTGTTTCGAGTTGCACTGCCGGAAAGTCTCCCTGAATTTGCTTGGATTTGCTTCTGAGGAAACATGCATAGGATTGAGTTGTGCAAAACCTCCGAGTCTAGTCAGATACCTGCATTTGCTGCTCCTGAGGCAGTTTCTCCTTTAAGCTACTAGTCCTCATGGGAAAGGTATCTGGATGGAGCTCCCAAGTAGCAGGAAGTCGACCATAACTCCTGGGGTTTACTGCTGCTTGGACCCTTCACACCTTTCATACAAAATAAAATGCTCAAGTTAAGTTTCCCCATGAAAAATGTAATACAGGATGATCAGATCAGTTGTTAAGAAGAATGTGCATTCTGTGTCATGAACACACTTTCCTTTCCTGATATTCCTTCATAGAAAAAAGCATATTTCCTTACCAATCTCCTTTCCTTAGGCAATCAGACTAGCAAATTAAGCTCCTGTTTACCTTCCAGTAACAAATTGCAATAAATGAACTAGGGGGGAAAATCACATGCTGAGAGACACACAGGTCTGTTACCATGGGAAGAAGTACTTTTAAAAATCTAAAACATAGTTTTTCTTTGAGTCAAACTGTGGTGCTGCTTTGATACTTGAACCCAGATGTTTCCAAAACAGACTATTGTGTTCTCACCGACCGATTGTATGGTGTGATTTTTGTGGGGGATGTGGGAAATTGGACGGCGTGGGCCTTGATTCTAGTCCACCTCCGTAAGTGTTGGGTCTGACCTGTCTTCAGGGTAGACCAGCTTCTGTTTTCATCAATGTCCAGCTGCCCCTGGGTAGCAGAGTGTGAAGGCAACAGCCTCCTTACACACACACACACACACACCCTTTTCTGGCAGCTTCTATTCAAAGGTACCCTATTGGTTCAACAAACATTGTATTCAGCGCTCACGACTGGCCTTCTCGCCTTATTAGATCTGGCGCGTGGAATATCAACACAGTGAGCTGAAGTCCTGCTGATGAAATGCATGTATTGCATTCGCTCATCAGGTCATAGAAATCTAATTGTAAAGCGAGGAAGGAACATGAGGGTCCTCCAGTCTGACCCCTGCCTTTGGGTTAAATCCACAGCTAAAGAATCTCTTAACAGATACCCATCCATCCCTCTTTATAAGACTCCAGAGAAGAGCCATCTAAAGCAGTGCAGTCCACTGCATCCTAAAGCAAGAAAAAAAAATCTAATTTTCACTTGGGATTTCATGTACATCCACTGGTTTCAGTTCTAACCTGGGAAGTAGCTGAAAATAAACTCGTGCCACCTTCTGGATGATGGAGATCTCTGAAAAGGGCTCTCATATCCCCCCCTTAGCCTCCTCCTCCTCCGGTGACACCCAGATCCTTCCACCATTCTTCAGCAGACTTGGTTTCCTGACCCTCGATCACCTGCATTGCCCCCCCTTTTTTTCTTTTCAGTTTTTGATTTTGAAAGCGACACATTGATGGTGATGTGGGCAGGAAACCAGCTCATCGCATAGGGTTGCGTGCAGCTTGAGCTCAGAGCTGTCCCCACCCTCTTGGGGACACCAGCAGAGCCGCGAGAACGTCTGCAAACTTCGGATGAGGCTACAAAACAAAAACCGAATAGAGCCGAGTCAAGCCATCAGTGGATTCTCTTTATTTCCCCGACGGATCACAGGGATGTCTTTCTCCAGGCGTTGTCTCACCAAGTCGCTGAAGAACTGAAGTAAGTCGTCTTCAGAGTTATAGCTTTGAAACTCCCGTCTTGTCACAGGTCCTAGTTAAATTCATTTGGCGGGTGGGTTTCTGCGAGAGAGCTTTCCAAGCAGAAGAAGCTCCTGAAATGATGATATATTTGTCGAAGGAGGACAGATCCGTAGATAAAACCAGGTCAGTTGATGTAATGGACATCAGTGTTCAGAAATGACAATGAGAAAGGAAGCTGTGCTGGATCAGACCCAAATTCAGTATCCTCTTCCTACAATGCGCTTAAGCACCTGCGTCTGTGTTTTCAGAGGCATGCTGTTTCTTGTACATATATAACCAGAATGTCTAATAATCAGGAACCATATTTATCCTGCAGGAATTTATCTAAACTTTAAAAAAAAACATTCAACTTGGCAGGCGTGGTTGTATCACGGAGCAGTGAATTTCACCGTTTAACTTTGGTCGGGGCCCATTCACGTGGTAAATGGAACAAGGCGGAAGCAGGGAGTCGGTACCATTGGGGGCCTGGAATATCTATTAAGCTGGAGACTTCACCGTCTTAACTGGAGAGGAAACTCAGTGTGACAGGGTGAAACCTGAAACGCTTGGGGCTATTATACCGAAGGCTTTTTTTAAAAAAGATGTGATTATTGTTCATATAAATCATAATAAATGCATAACATTTAGTACGGCTAAAACAGCAGCTAGAAATAAAAACAGCAATACGGTGGCAGTAAAATTAAGAAGACAGCACCCTGTCTTTCCGAGAGGCGCAGAGAAATGGGCAACATGGATCATTCCACAGCTTGCACCTTGCCATCATCCACTCGGGAGAGCTGCTTCTCAAGCCTGCGTGTAAATGGCAGCCCATTTCTAACCATGACAGAACTTGCACAGAAGTGGAGTAAGCCTTTCTGTGTCAACCTTGCGGCCTCCGTGGGGAGGGCTCCTATGTGGCAAGGCTCACGGTTTTTACGAAACTGGTCTTTAAGGATTGTGTTGGTGGGCTGAGATTTCTAGCTCGAGGCGCAAGATCCAAGCAAAATGTTGAAAGTTAGATGCTCACCTTGGCGCAGCTTCTCAGCTGTTAAGCCATTCCAGCCACCTGCTCATGTATGCCCAGATCGGAGTCGATCCTTACAGCGGTGGTGGAGAAACGTGGTCGTGCAGGTATTGCTGGATTACAAAGCCCATTATCCCTGACTCTTGGCCCTACCAGGTGGGGTCAGATAGCAACCCCACAACATCTGCAGCTGGCCCAGGCCTGTCAAAAGAATGGGCCAGCTGCCTTTTCCCACCTCTAAAATGGGGCCAGCCTCAATTCTAAGATTTAGACCTATTTTCAAAGCCTGCAAAGAGAGAATTTGGGGGTGGGGGGGCAGGAAAAAAAGTCTAACGCAGATGGACTTTAAAAATGTTGCCCAAGAGAATTCTTCAGGAGAGAGACAGCCATTTTTGGGATCAAAGCAAGTCGGAGGGAATATAGTAGAAGGGACAAATAGGTGCTAAAAGAGACCCGATTAAAACATTTTTTTGAAAAATAGACTCAACTGTGTTGGGATGGTACAGGCGGCATGAATTCTCCCAATCTACAAGCCAAGTTTAACTATATTAATTGTGCTTTGCATGTTAAATCACTTTGCTACACACTATATAGTAAAGACAATTTATAAAATAACTGTATTTTACCTATATTATTTATAGGTAATATTTGTTATTACGTCCAGTTTGTTTGTTTGTTTGTTTGTTTATTTGATTTTTACCCCGCCCCTCTAGACCATGTCTACTCGGGGCGGCTTACAAAATAAAACAGAACAGTATAAAAATATATAAAATCATAAAATTACAATTACAATTTCAATTTAAAACAATTAATTTAAAGAGAGGATTACCAAGATGGAATTTAAAGACAATTTATAAAATAACTATTTTACCTATATTATTTATAGATATAGATAGTTTATAATACACAGTATACTGTAGTAAATAGTCTATAGAATATTTATATATTTATACTAACTTTATATACTTTATAAATGGTCTGCATATTTTATATATTTTCCCAATATGTTATTTTAAGTTACAAAAAACGAAGGGGAACATGCTCATTTACTGTAATCAACAATGTGGGTCTGTCCTCAATGCAGCAGGCTTTCTCAGAAGGCCAGCTTTGCAGGTGGGAGGGTTGTTGCCTTGGGGAAAAGTAGGCTGGCAGTATTAACAATGCACTCTGGAAGGTGATGTAGAGAGAGAGAGATACAGCAGGAGGCTGTGGTAGGTTTTGTATGTAATCGGGCAAATTCATTTTTGTCAATGCAAGTGACATTTGTGAAGGACGATGAAAGCTGCCTTTAAGGCATCATTGAGATCACATTTTCCAGCAAAGGCATCGTAGAATAACTGCGTTGGAAGGGGTCTGTAAGGTAATCAAGTCCAACCTCTGGCTCAGTGCAGGAATCCAAGTCAAAGCAGATCTGACACAGAGCTGTCCAATTTTCTCTTGAATGCCTCCAGTGTTGGAGCGCTCTCCATCTCTCCCTGATGTCATGGGTTCCATTGTCGTACTGCTCTAACAGTTAGGAAGTTTTTCCTGGTAATCAGTCTTAATCTGGCTTCCTGTAGCTTGAGTCCATTTTTACGTGTCCTGCACTCTGGGATGATGGAGAACAGAATGTCTCACTTTCAGATATTTGAAAAGTGCTCTTCTATCTCCCTGCAGGCTTCTTTCCTCAAGGCCAGACATGTCTAGCTCTTTCAGCCTTTCCTCCTAGGGCTTGGCTGAGAACAGAATGACTCACTTTCAGATACAGTATTTGAAAAGTGCTCTCCTATCTCCCTGCAGACTTCTTTCCTCAAGGCCAGACATGCCTAGCTCTTTCAGTCTTTCCTCCTAGGGCTTGGTTTCCAGCCCCCTGATCATCGTTGTTGCCCTCCTCTGAACTTGCTCTGGTTTGTCCACATCCTTCTTAAAGTGTGGCATCCAAAACGAATGACTCACTTTCAGATACAGTATTTGAAAAGTGCTCTCCTATCTCCCTGCAGACTTCTTTCCTCAAGGCCAGACATGCCTAGCTCTTTCAGTCTTTCCTCCTAGGGCTTGGTTTCCAGCCCCCTGATCATCGTTGTTGCCCTCCTCTGAACTTGCTCTGGTTTGTCCACATCCTTCTTAAAGTGTGGCATCCAAAACGAGACACAGATGAGGCCTAACCAGTGCTGAACAGAGAGAGACTGGGACCTCGTGGGATTTAGAGACTTTTATACATGACAGAAGGCAGCTGACTCTGTAACAGGTTTAATTAAAGCAAGTGAGCATTTCCATGAATTTTTACAACCCTTATCTTCACCTTAGGCCTGATCCACTCAGGCCCTTATCAATTATCCAGCAGCAGCTGACAAGAATTCAAGACACATATGTAAGAATTAAGAGAGAGAATGGCCGTAATGTTCTGCTTGAGCAACAGGAATGATGTCATCATCGGTGACAGATTGCCACAATTCTTAAATTTTGAGTTGCATGCAGAGTTGCGCAAAAGGATTTTGGTCAGATGCAACTAATCACAGCAGGTTAAAGTGTTGAAACGAGGGGGTTGTGATAATAAAAACAACCCATTAAAAAGAAGAAGTTAAAAGTGCATCGTAAGAAGAAAAAATAAAATGTGGTAACTCTGCTTAAAATATCTTTCTCTGTAGCAAGTTGTCCAAAACTGAATTGAATGAAAAGGACTTCACTTGCTCTCAGAAGAACAACAGAGTAGGAGATCGACTTAGCCTGTCCTGGAAGGGTGTATTAAGAAGCCACCAAGAAGGTTGTAGAATGACAGAATAATGAAAGTTGGAAGGGGCCTAAAAGGTTATGAAGTGCAGCCTCCGGCTCAGTGCAGGAATCTGCAAAGCAGATCTGACAGAGGGCTGTTCAATTTTCTATTGAATGCCTCCAGTGCTGGAGCACTCACTACCTCCTGAGCTCATGGGTTCCATCGTCGTACTGCTCTAACAGTTAGGACGTTTTTCCTGACGTACAACCTAAATCTGGCTTCCTGTAGCTTGAGAGGTCTTCTCTGACATCCTTACCAATTGTACCTCTGGAGCTGATGGGGCCAAGAAAAGGTTCTTACCTAAAGATCTCAATGCCTGGGTGACTTATATAGAAGAATACAATGCTTGGGATAGTCTGAAGCCAAGCTGGGTGAGGTTTATATGTCATGACTGTGACTTTTGCCTGGAAGTGGACCAGTACTTGATGAAGCTGTACTTGATGAAGAAGGAACTGGTGTACACCCATAACTGGTTCCAGCATGGTCATCCTTACTGCTTGCTCATTGAACTGTCTTCTGGTGTTTCCTCTATGCACCCAACCTGGCTTGGTGTTTTTTTTTTTAGTCAAAATCTCAGTGGCACCCTGACTTCCATTGCACCAAAGTTTTACTAGTATTTACAGCCTGAAAACAGAAGATGGACATCCAAGCTATGAACCTGAGTCTTCCAAGAAAGGGTTACTCCACCCACCACAGCTGGCATCCCCAAAAGAGATCTATTTGGAATCCATTCTTACCTCTTCTTCTTTGAAACACCCTTAATGATTCGGTGCAATCCGTGAACTTGTGCGGTTCTTCCCTAACACCAGGTCATTTATCAACCAGTTTGAAAGTATGGGCCAGATCCCTACTGGTGTGTGTGTAAAGTTTGTGTAAATTGCTGCAGCTAATTGCCAAGGCACAACTCGGTTGCACAACTGGCTGCATGGGCAGCATCATGACTATGCGGTGCTCCAGCACCTTGTTAATTAGCCACAATTAGCTGTGGCAGGTTATGCAAACCATACTTGAACCCGAATAGGATTCTGGCCACTGCCCCCTTTAGGGGGGACTCCACTCTGTACAGGCAACATATTTGCTAGGTTATAATTCCTTGTTGTAATTCATTAAGAGCTCTTGAAGAAATGGAAGAAATATCAACAACCTCCGATATGCAGATGATACCACTCTGATGGCAGAAAGTGAGGAGGAACTAAAGAACCTT